AAAATGCATGGAGTATTATTAGAATGGAAAGTGGATGACCCCCCCCCCCCCCCCCCAAGGTTTAAAAGAAGCTTGGGATACAGATTTAGGAAAACAGATGGAAGAGACAAAGTGGCAAACAGTTCAAAAATCAAGTAGCTTTCTGTCAGTTTCCATACAATGGTATGGAATAATGCAGTGGAAGATATTATCTCTCTGGTATTTAACTCCAACTAGACTAGCACAAATATATCATAATTATTCATCAAGATGTTTCAGGACTTGCAATCAGAAGGCAAGATCTTTTCACAGTGGTGGATTTGTGAGAAGATGGTGTCTTATTGGAAGGCAATATTCAAAGAAGTTAGAATAATACCTAAACACTAAGTAGACTGTGTTCCAGAATTGGGATTATTATGCATTTCTGACGGAGATAACACTAAACAAAATAGAGCTTATTGTATTTTTACTCCTGGTTGCAGAGTACTTAATGCGAAATGCGAAAGTACTTAATGCAAAAGTTATAAAATTCAAATACTGGCTTCTCAGAGGAATGAATTACATTTTTATTGGATCTGGAAGGATTATATAAGCTATGTTAATTTAGTCATATATAAACTATAATTGAATGTTGAAATATATTATTCTGGGCTGTTATCTTGTATTCTGTCTTCTTGCATTACAGAATCTCAGTGTCTCTCTATCTCAGACTTGTGATTCTGATAATGAAGCCACTTTGTGTGGAGATATAACTTCATGTTGACTATCTAGAAACCAGATGTCAGTCTGTCGCTGTTCAGAATATCACTCTGGCTTGCTGTACTAAAAAAAAGAAACATGTTGTAGATTCCCAACTTAAATATATGCTGCAGTTCATTGTTGTGCATTTGAATATGACAAATGAAGGGTGCCTAATATAATATATACTTATAATTTGTGCATGCTATTAAAGTATTTATAATTAACAGGAAGAAAAGAGAGGCCAAAAAAAAATATCAGAAATCCGAAGAAGCAAGCATCTTCACCTAATATTCAAAAGAAGGAAAAAACATTGGAGAAGGTAAATCTGAAATTTTTAAAATTTTATAAAAAAATAGCTATGATAGAAACCTTGCTTTCTGTTAGGTCTTTGTTATTTCACTGAAAATAACAACTTTGATTTTATTTTCAGCCCAACCCTGAAAAATTAGATTAGAACAGGAGCTTTTGTTTGATAGATCCAATCTAAGTCTTAAGTCCCAATAATTGAACGAGACAAGCCAGTCATAGTGAATGATGTTAGCTATACCCTCTTTTCATCATTAGTTTTGTTAGTAGATATAAAATCTGACTTCATAACTACTATACAGCCTAGTTCTTGTTTTTCTTTCTTTGAGCCTAAAAATATAACTTAAGGAAAAATCTTCCATGGTTTAGTAGCTTGCATAGTCTAGGTAAAGAAAATTGGATCAAAGGTTTTTCTTAATATTGTTTATACTGTATTCCTTTTTTCTTTTACCTGACAGTCTAACTCTCGAGACACATCTCCCTTTATGTAAGTATTTGCTAAAATTGAGAGGAAAGCCATTAAGGCAGAATCATTTTATTTTATTTATCAATTTATATAGTTTCCCATCTCAACAGTGACTCTGGGTAGAGGACAATGATAAAAATAAAACAAATATATATACAAAAATTAAAATACACAGCAGCCGAGAAGACCAGCAGTTATCCACATAGCCAGGAGATGGTTTCCTTCACACACACAGGGCCCCAGGCCCGAGCACAGAGCTAGGTCTTTGGGGCCTTATGAAAGGCCAGCAGGATTGGAGCCAGCGGGAGAATGTTCCAGAGGGCAGGTGCTATGGCAGAAAAGGCTCGTCTTCTGGGCCCCACCAGCCTACCTTCACTAGCCAATAGGAACTGTAGCATGCCCATCCTGCCAGACCAGATAGATGGGTAGAAACAACCAGGCAAAGACAGTCCCTTAAGTAACCCAGCCCCAAGCCATTAAGGGCTTTAAAGGTGATAACCAGCACCTTGAATTTCACCTGGAAGCACACTGGCAGCCAACACAGCTTACAGAGTAGTGGTGTCATGTACCAAATAACCAGTGCTGTTAACTATGCTGCCACATTCTGCACCAGTTGAAGCTTCTGAATGCTCTTCAAGGGCAGTATCATGTGGAGTCTATTGCAGTAGTGTAGAATATGAATATGAATTAAGAATGGTTTTTGGATGATTTTAATAAAGAAGAAAATTTTAAATCCTTGGAAGATAAATCTCACAATAACTTTTGGTTTGAGAGTCACTTGACATTCCTCCTTAGAAAGATATATCTCTGAACATTAGAGGAATTCAGCATTTTATAAATTTAATTCATAAATCTTGTTATGATCTTTAACCAGCGTAGAAATATCTTATGAGTCATATCAGATTAGGGTGGTCTATATTTATTAGGGTAAATAAATAAATAAATAAAAATATCAACAGAAATAGAAAATAAGGAAAAAATTAAAATATAAGAAGGGTAGGTAAAAAGTGTTAAAAATAATACAAAGGTTATAAATATTAACTGCTCAACAACAAATATTCTTTTAACAGCAACTATGCATATGTAATATCTGTATACCAACAGTGAGATTATCTGACAGTACCCTACAAATCTTACATGTCATATATTATTGCAAAGTTTTATGCAGCAGCATGTAAGATTAAAGCAAACAAGTAAAATTGATTTCAGTGACTTGTCATCTTAGAACTGGAAGAATAAGAGCACAATAAATATCTCTATAAAACTGACAGTGCAAAAGAACATGCTCATTTTTCTCAACCTGACCATCACCACATGGACATATATTTTTATGATAGGGTTTTTATTATCTCAGCTCTCTAATTCAGCTGAAGGGAGAGCACCACAGCAAGCCAAAGTAAAGACATTTATGTATTCAGACCTGCATATTTCTTCCTGGCAACCATGTGGGAATCCAGCACTAGAGTGATAAAAGTGCTTCTGGGAAAAAAAACCCTTCTCACTTTACAGGTAGTCCTTGCTTAACAACAGTAATTGGGACTGGCAACTCTGTCGCTAAGTGGCACAGTCATTAAGCATGATGTCACGTGACTGCACCGGCTTATGATGTCAGTTCTGGCTGTGGTCGTTAAGCGAATCACCACAGGTCATTAAGTGCCGGCTTTCCCATTGACTTTGCTTGTCGAAAGCTGTCTGAAGGTCACAAATGGCGATTGTGTGACCACGGGATGCTGTGACATCATAAGTATACACTGGTTGCCAAGTACCCAAATCATGATCACGCAATCCAGCTGGGAGATTGCTAAGATCTGAGGTACCATGAGCAGGGCTTCCTGGTACAGGAATGTATACAGTTGACACAAGATGAACCTGTGCACAGGCCCTCCTATTCACAGCTGCCATCTATTCTTTAAGCAGGAGCTGTTCTTCTTCAACAAGGACCTTGAAGTTGCATACCAATTCTGTTTGGGGGTGCTACCCCATGCACAGATAAAGATGCATAACTTTGTCAGCCCCAGGCAGGGTTATATAATTGGATATTATCAGCAATACTGATCATACCTTGCCCTGTGTCAACGGATTACTTCCTTAGTGGCTTGATATACTGTAGATGTTAAAGAGAAGCATGGAATGATTAGAGCTCTGAGGAACTTTGCAAAACAGGGGCCACAGCCTTGATATTTCCCCACTAATCAATATCAACTGGAACTGGCCCTGGAGGAAGGAGGAGAACTACTGTAGCACTGTGCCTCCCACTCCCAGACCCCCTGCTCCAGAAGGATACCATGATCAATGGTATCACAAGCTGCTAAGAACTCAAGGAAGAGCTGCAGGGAGGTGCTACCCTTATCCTGCACCCACCAAAGGTCATTAACAAGTGTAATCAATGCTGTCTTAGTGCTGTAACCAGGTCTGAAACCCAATGAAAGGATCCAAATTATCTGCTTCCCCTGGAGCTGTAAGCCAACCATCTTCTTGACAACCCGCCCTAAAATTATCCAGTTCCTCTAGGTCCAGCAATGGCAGATAACCGCCCCTTTCAAAATACGCCAACAGTGCCCTGCATTATTCTGGAAAGAATAGGACTGATCACTTGCTTCTATTTTATTTCTCATGGTTTATCTGCTCTTTCATTAGCATGAGTATGCAGCAGAGTAAGTGGGATCCTTCTAGATCATTAAGATTCAACCAAGATGCTCAAAGAGAAGAAGGTAAAGTGTACCTGCTTAGCTTGTGCGATTGTAATAAAATAATGTTAGTATTATTCCATACCTAAATACACATGCAGAAATGCGTAAATGGCCAGGATTCTGTGAGATAGGAATTAAATCTTTCCGCTTAATACTCACGAAACTCCTCAATATCAATGAATACTCCTGGGAAGATGTGCATAATTTGCAGCCCTGGGCTGTATGCATTCCCCAGAGTCTTGAGGATTGACCTCAGAAACTCTCCAAAGGTTATTCCAAAACTTAATTTTGAATGTGACAGACAGGAAAATTATTTTTAAAAATAGCTAACTTTAATTAATGGAATCTTGTTTTATTTCAACTTATTGTAAACACACTTCAGGTGTAAACCTTGAGGTATATTCTTTGTCCTTTCTGGCAGGGCTTAAAAGATGTTTGAAAATCCACTCTATAAACAAGGCTTTTCTTCTTGCCTTGGCAGTATTTGTGTTTAATTTGATTAAAGTACTAGCTAAAATAAAACTCTAGGGAAGCACCTTTGGCACAGTTAATCCCAGTTAATAACTTTGTTTCTTCTTGGAAGAAATATATAACAGTAGATTTAAATTATACTGGTCTCTCATCTTAATTCTAAAAACCAGAATAGAGAGCTACATTAGAAACAAAGAAGCAAATTCTTAACCTGGTCTACAAAAAGATAGGAAGAACGATCCTCATTACTGTAATGGTGGGCTTAGTAGTAGATCTTTTACATTACCTAACTACTTTAATAAAAACCTCTCTCTTATATAGTAAAGAGTTCTCATTGGCTAGACTTCATGTTCTGCCATCTAGCCCAAGATTGCTTATGCCCCTGTTGATTGGGGCCATTGAGACCCATTTATACATGTATAAAGCCAGAATTATGAATTAATAATACAGAAAAAGAGGGCCAGTTTGTCTAGTGGTTAAGGCACCAAGGCTAGAAAGCAGGAGACTGAGTTCTAGTCCCACTTTAGGCATGAAAACCGGCTGGGTGGCTTTGGGCCAGTCACTCTCTCTCTCAGCCCAACTCACCTCCTAGGGTTATTGTTGTAGGGAAAATAGGAGGAGGAAGGACTATTAGGTATGTTTGCCACCTTGAGTTATTTATAAAAATAATAACAGTAGGATAAAAAAAACTAAAAAAAAAAACTTTCCTAGCCAATTGTTTAAGTTATCCAGAAGAGGTAAATTCTTGCTTTTTGATAAAGGATCAATCTCTAGAAACATATAGAAAGTTTGCCAAATGTTGTGGTTATAATTGTTGAAAAAGGGCTATGGATTTAGTATTAATATTTATTGGTTGATTTGTATCTGTCTAGATATGGTTTGTTATTAATTGTTTGGCTTGTAATGTACTAACGTTTATTTTGTTTTCCTGTCTATTGGGTTTGATCTTTGACCATCAGTAAAGTAATTGCTATCCCTGCAGAGTGAAAAGGTTGTAGGCATTAGCACTTCTCTTTTCCTTCTGTGTTTTTTGCAGATCAGCGGCGAATGATTGAGATAACAGGACATCTAATAAAAATGAGGCTGGGGGAACTTGATCGCATAAAATCAAGAGAAAACAAAGAAGTGAGCTTTGTTGCTGTACTAATTTAATATCACTGATGCATTTTGGCTATGCCTTTGATTATTTTTGTTTTTTCCTTTAAATTATTATTTGTTGCCTTTCCATAATCCTGTAAACGCCAGACTGAATGCTGGGTACACTAATGGTTCCTCTATATTTAAATATTTAACATATTTTCTTGTATTGCTCACAGACATAGAACCTCCATAAAGACTCAGTTTAACATTCAAATACCATTCTTTTATGTGTATATAGAATCTATACTTAAAGGAAAAAAGGAAAAATGTGATTACGTGCATAAAAATTAAAAAACAAGCAAGTGACATTGTAAAAAGATTAAAAGGCATCTTAAAGAAAAAAGAAAAATATACATATGTAAAGAACGAAAAAAAATCACAGAAGGTAACTATTTCCCAAAGGGGATAGCATGGTGGCGTCACCTCTCTTCCTACTCTGAAAAATACGAAGCTGTTTCAGACGTTACTAATTGAAGAAAAATAAAAGTACTGTGTGCTAAAAATAAGCAATAGAATTGGCGGTATGCCCAGACTCTCTATCTTGAAATAACCCAAACAAACACAAATAGGAATACAGAAAAAAAATACTGGCATGTAGACTTTTAAACTGAGGCTTTTACTGTAGGCAAACTCCAACTTCTCCTGTGGTAGATTCCATAGAATGAAACACAATCAAGCTTGTCCATCTGCAGATTTTAAAGTTAGGATAAAGGCCTCTGCATTCAAGGGATTATCAAATCTGTGAATCTTATCTTGATGATTAACACAAAATGTGGCTGGAAAACACATGAAATGTTAAGTTATATTGATCTGGCAAGAATTCAAGCTTTTGTAAACATCTTTCTCTCTTCTGAAATCTCTTTAGTAAAATCAGGATAAAATTATGTCTTGCATTGACTAGAGCCCCACTTCAAAGGAGACTTTACTGGTTCCTGGTAAAATATACATAAAATCTAGTCTCTTGTGATAACACAGAAAAATTGTATAATAATAATATTGGAACAAATTCCAGTCTTCCTTCTCATTAAAGGAATTTTAATCACATGGTCAATCTTGACTGGAAAGTCTGTTCCCAAAGAAAGGAGCTTTCTGAAAAAATCTTCCATGAATTCGGCCATAAATTCAGCCAGGTTTGATTGTCTTAGAGGGTTTTCAATACCAGTCACGTGTAGGTTTTTCCTACGCAGTTGTGACTCCAGATAAATAATTTGCTTATCCAAAATATTAAGACCGGCTTGAGTTACAGTCTCATGGGCATTTAAACGATCCTCATAGCAAGCTATTTTTTCTTGCATCGATTTTAAATCATATGGCTCTGCCATATCTTGTTGGATCGGCTTCAAGAGTGTACCTGAGCCAAGATCTCTTTTACTGAAGTAGCAGAAGAATCCTCCACCATCTTGCCTGGCTCAACAGATAGTGGCATAATTGAAATTAGGCCAGCTGTTCCTGTTGTGTAATCACAATCAACATATTCAGGACAGCTATGTATCTTAAGCATATAAGGGTTCTTCCATTTAAGCATGCAAAGATCTTACTGATTTTTTCTCATCATTTAGTGCATCTGGGTATTATTACAGTATAGTCACAGTTCAATTTTTAATGTGTCCCTTCCTGGGATGAAAAGAAAATATTTGGCAAAGGTTATGTGTATAATGGTATGGTGGCCCGATCCATCTTCCATTATGTGTGGTAAGAAATGAAGCATTGATCTGTTTATTTGACTTCTGTCCTTTTAGTCTGCAGCTGGAATTTATGCAAGACTTGAAGCTCAGATCAGGGCAGCAGCACAAGTCAATATTCGTCAGAACATCCCTGAAAAAATTATAAGGTAAATATTAAATAAAATAGGAGAGGGAGAGAAAAGAGGAATATTGTAATTGGTAATTTTCATATATGGATTTATAGAACAGCAGATAGATTTTTATATGGAGTATGTCTACCTTGAAATAACATGCCCCAGAATATTCTGACCTGAAACAGTTTGCATTCTCATTAAGAACTGGTTTATAGCTCCAATTATTGGATTCAATGTGGAATTTTTACTTTATACTTACCTTTTTTTTTTTGCATTGATTCACTCTGTATCTAATTATAAATTGGGGTGGGTGTTTCTGGAATTATTAAGTTGTAGAGTCTTTGGGGTTCTCTGAGTTTGCAGATGTTACCTAGTTGGGTAATGAAACATCTTTAGTGTTAGAAGGGAGTGGGGTTTGCTCTCTGTTTACATACAGTAGCTTTCCCTGTCAGTGTTGGAGGGGGTGTTTTTTTCCTTGGTAGTTCCTAGATTAGGCTGTTGTTTACTGCTTGATTGTTTGTCTGGTATTAATCCTGGTGTTAATCCCTGCTTATCTGGGTGTTGATTGCTGGCAAGGAGATGTTTCCTTTTCATTGTCTCTTTTGAATGGTGTGTAAATTCATTCGTTCATTCATTCATTCATTAAATTTGTTTGCCACCCATCTCCCCCAGAGAAATAAATGTTTTTATTTCTATGTGCCTGTTGATGGCTGACTCGTCTGAATACCCAGTTTCTAGGAATTCTCTTGTGTTTTTGGATTTAAGATGTTGACAGTTTCCCAGTTGAAACTGTGGTTGAGTCTGTTCGTGTGTTGTGAGATTAAGGAGTTTTCATTGTGTCTTCTGACAGCTAGTTGGTTTTCATGTATGCGCTCTACTAGTCTTCTGCCTGTCTGTCCTACATAGTGGCTGTTACTTCCTTACACTGTATGTTGTAGATGCCTCCTGGTTTTTCTTCTTGGGCTACTGGGTCTTTTGGTTTACTTAAGATGTTTTGGAGGGCTTTAGTTGGTTTGTGTCCTACGGTGAGTTGTGTGGTTATAATTGTCTGTTGGTTGTTTCTGAGATGTTTCTGACGTATGGCAATGTTGTCTCTTTCATAGTTTGTGTTGATTGTGCTAAAATGGGTTGAGTGGTCACGAACTTTTTGATAAAGTTGCATGGGTATCCATTTTGTTGGAAGATGTTGTATAGGTGGTCTGTTTCCTTTTTCTGCTGTTCTGGGTTGCTACAGTGCGCTAATGCTCATTTGAATAATGTTCTTACACAGCTCCTCTTATGGGAGGTTGGATTGTTACTTTGATAATGGAGCACTTGGTTAGTGTGGATTGTTTTTTTGATAGATATGTGTTTCTACTTTGCTGTCATTTTCTCTGCTGATGTGGATATCCAGGAAGGGTAGTGTTTTGTTTTCCTCTTCCCTTGTGAATTTTATTCCTTTGAAGATGTTGTTGATTGTTTCATGTGTCTTCTCTAGTTGTTCCTTTTTTATTATGATGCAGGTGTCATCTACATATCCAGATCCATACTTTTGGTTGTATATGTAGAAGTGGTATGTTGATTGTTTCATGTGTCTTCTCTAGTTGTTCCTTTTTTATTATGATGCAGGTGTCATCTACATATCCAGATCCATACTTTTGGTTGTATATGTAGAAGTGGTATAGTTTCTAGATGCTGCATTACAGTCTTTGCTGAAAGTGGTGATCCCATGGGTGTTCCTCTGATTTGTTGGTATGTTTGTCCATCAAACTGAAAATAGGTAGTGAGGCAGAGGTTGA